AAGTCTGAATGTCTTGAGTTAATTAGCATAATCGTTTATTACACTAAATGTCTAAGTTTAGTTCAGGTTCATTCAGAAATGGAAGACATTTGTTTACAAAAAATGTTTAAAAAAATTTTTTTTTTTTAAATAGCAATTAAGATGTATACAAGGTGTAAGGAAAATACTGACTTGATGATTGTACAAGCTGGCATTTTAAAACCATTAAATCAATATATATATTGATACATATACATATAAATACATATACATATACATATAAATACATATATGGAATATAATTACAATATAAATGTAATTACAATATAATTACAAAAATTACATTTCTTAGCATGCGTTTTGATATATTTAAGGCAAGATACTACTGTTTTTTATGCACTGGTCAATTTTGAGATTTTGGGTTAATATGCTTCAGTTCTCTTTCAGACCAGTGGAAATCAAATTTAATAAATAAAATATCTAAATTTATATATTTAATTATATAAATAATTAGCATATTTAAACATTTCAGAAAATGTGTAAAACAAAAATGTTAAAGCACTGTAATTAATCAGCTGGGGAATACATGGTGATATGGTAACCAATTTTTCAGTCTCAGAGTCTTGCCTTAGACACAATTAAAAAGGGCAAGGCTAGGGCAAAGCAGCAAAATGTGCCCAAAAATCCTCAGAGATAATGAGACTGAGAAAGAATGTGTGATGGACTGTGAGTCATTACCATGTCAATAATCTGCAAGAGAGTGATCTGCAAGGTGACGTTAATGATGTTGTCAGTGTCCTCCACAGGCCTCAGTGCATTGGTGTAATTCACAAATAAATCATTCAGCAGCATTCATACAAGTGGTGATTACTTGAGTTTACTGAGTAAAACTGCTATTCTCATGTCAGGGGAAGTCGTGGCCTAATGGTTAGAGAGTCGGACTCGTCTCGTACTGGCAGGGATTGTAGGTGGGGGGAGTGAATGTACAGTGTTCTCTCCCACCTTCAATACCACGACTGAGGTGCCCTTGAGCAAGGCACCAAACCCCCAACTGCTCCCCGGGTGCCACAGCGTAAATGGCTGCCCACTGCTCCGGGTGTGTGTTCACTGATGTGTGTGTGGACTTTGGATGCACTAATTCCGAGTATGGGTCACCATACTTGGCCACATGTCACGTCACAAGCTTGGTGGCTTGTGATGGAATAGATTAGTGTCTTCAGACCTTCAGCACAGTCAGTAATGGTCAGTCAAACCACAAACAATTTTACTTCCTTTGTATCTTTGTTTGATGTAGAAGAAAGTGAAAATATTTGCTTGTCTGATTTCTCAAATTCCATGATTATTAATGACAATTGGAGGGGTCTGAATACTTTCCGTACCCACTGTATATATATACTGTATGTATATGTATATATACACACACAAAAAGACACACACATACTGTATATATATTTTATTATAATATATATATATACAGTATATATATATATATATATATATATACATATATATTTTATTTCCTCCTGTAGTCTTGTCTAAATCAGGAGAAAAAAATGCACAGATCAAGCACTGTTTACAAGCAGTACTAGTTCTAAACAAATATGTCAGTGGATTTGTGGAAATGTGAGGAAACATTTTTATGAACTATGGGACCCACATTTTGGCTAGAACCCAGCAATGGTTAAAAAGTTAAAAGAATGGATGTTACAAACATGTACATTTTTACTTCACAAGATGTTAATTGATGAAAATGTCAGTGACTTGTGGATTATTGTGTTGTTTTTATCAGCTGTTTTGAACTCTCATTCTGATTGCACCCTTTCACTGCAGAGGATCCATCAGAGAAAGTGATGTAATGTAATGCTACATTTCTCCAAATCTGTTCAGATGAAAGAAACTCATCTACATTTTGGAGGGCTTAAGGGTGAGTAAACAAATATAATTTTTTTTTTACTGTAGTTCCAAGTTATAAACTCTGTATTGTGTACTCTGTATATCGGATTTGGCTGCCAGCTCAGGGCAGCTTGGTGCCTCAGTGATGATGAATGAGAGTGCTGCTTAACAAACTTTACCAGAAATAGTGCCAGAAACAGGAGAGCTCCAATAACCTTTCAAACTGCTGCCCATATATTTAGTTGAACTACGGCCACACCGAGTGCAGCAGGGGAACTCTAGTGAACAAAGCACGTTTACTCTCTCCTGTTCCCTGAGGATGAGTGTGGTCAGTGCTTTCACCAGCAAATCAATTCACCCCAATTGCCAGACAAAATAGCGCTCTAATGAAAGATAAAAATGGAGGCTGTGGTGTGAAAAGGATGTGTGAGATATCCAGCTGGCAGCACTGCTGTCCTGCAGCATGAACTGATCAAGTGTGCAGAAAGTATCACATTCTTGTAATCAAAAACACTTGTATTAAAGATGCTTCTTTAGACATAATTCAATAATGCATATGGAATTTGTGGGTCATATATAGTTACTATTTGGGTAGCTTCCACACTTTTAAGATAGTAAATTTAATACCGGTAATACATTTATTATATTTTTCTTTAAAAAAAAGAAGAAAGAAATAGAAAGAAAGAAAGAAATAGAAAGAAAGAAAGTTCCCTATATGTGTAGACTTGAAAATAAGCAAAATCTCAGCTCAATGTCAGATTCTTAATCAATTGAGTCACCAGTATACACACAAACCACTCACAGGATTTCTAGATCTGCATAATTAATAATAATTGGGAAAAAAAACCTCCAAAGGGAATTAAATAAATTCTGGGTACTTCTGGGACTACTGGTCTACATGCCCCTATTGTACTGTAAACACTAATTATCAGTGGGTCAACCCCCTTGAACAACATATCAGGTTGATGAGAATATAACACAAATTGCATCTGTTCACTGTTGCCACTAGGGTTGAATCCACAGATGTTCCAGATTAGTGTGGGACATGTCCATCTTGGAGGGAGGGCACGTGTAAACGGATGCTTAATTTAAAATCTTTATCAAGTGTAATATTTAAGAATTCACATTAATATATCTATCAAATAACCAAACAAACAAAAACTTAATCAACCACACATTTGCAATTAAAAAAACTATAATACAAAGAAACACATATAACCAGTATAAGGAGTGTAAAACATTAATCTCAGTTAACTATAAATACATTTATTTTGAATCTTGTTCAAATTAAGGTATGGTCGACATATAAATACGAAAAATGAATAAAGTCTTTCATTAAAGTGAGCGCAGTCTTACCTGGAATAAAACCAGTGGTGGTAAACAGATGTAGAGAAGCCTAAATGACACGTGGATTCATTTTGTGGCGTGAAAGTATGGCGGGCCAGACGGTCCAAAAATAAGACTAATAACTTGTTGCGGGAAGTCACTATACTAAGTGAGTCGCCAGCTGAGGAGAGTGAGTCGCCCGCTGTGGAGAGTGAGTCGCCAGCTGAGGAAAGTGAGTCGCCAGCTGAGGAAAGTTAGTCGCCCGCCGTGTGAGGAGAGTGAGTCGCCAGCTGAGGAGAGTGAGTCGCCCGCCGTGTGAGGAAGGTGAGTCGTGGCAAACTCAGTAGCTCCTGGCAATATTATAGTGACTTCCCGCAACAAGTTATTAGTCTTATTTTTGGACCGTCTGGCCCGCCATATGAAAGAGGAATACAATCTCTTCTGTGGTTTCATAGAATCAGATGCAGCATTTCTCAGGTATTCCTATAGTTCAGTATCGTATTGTTTGTTACCAGGCAGCTCAAGATCCACGCGCAACTCAACTCGCGAGGCTAGAGAAGTGTCGCGTGCTAGTTACAGTAAGTGATGACGAAGAGTGTCAGTACTAGATATAGTACTGTTACTCGAGCTCGAGATAAAGATGTGTCGTATGGTAAAGTGAGATTCTTTTTTCGTTTCTTTTCACACTTAGGTTATGCTGACATAAGTTGTTATGAAAAACATTGCGTTCACACACACACACACACACACACACACACTTGAGATTGGTATTAAAGTTCTGGACCTCACTATATATAAACAGAATATATATACACAGACTTTTATTAAATGAAAATTATTTTATTCATAGTTTTGTAAAAGAATTAAGCACATTCATGCACAGCAATAATCTGACAGCCACAAACACCCATTCAAAGAATCTTAATTATCTTGAAACATAATCGGTTTAATGTTTACAGTGTTTTTTTTTTTTTAGAAAAGAAACATTACAGGAGATAAGCACATTACTAGTGGCTGAAGCATTTGTAGAACTAAAAAAAAAAAAAAACCTGAGCGGATGAAGGGTTCACATAATGCTGTAATGTAATTGCATCAGCGAAACCCTATCCTAATCAGAAGAGATGTCAGGCTGATTTTGATTAAAGATCAGAGAATCCCCATTAACCTATTGTTGAACACTTTAGAAACCTCAAAATATATTTCTATCAACTTCTTTGATCAATAGAATTGAATTGATTTCGTTTTACATTAGGCAAACCTTTAACAATAAGGTCTTTTCAATTAACACGTCGAAAACCCTACAAAAATAGATATGCCCACACTTTTACATTTTTAAATGTTGCCGTATATTTTGGTGTCAAAGAGAGATTCATTTTAAATTACAAATGGCTAACCTCCTCGAAAAAGATCAAACCTCATTACAAGCCAGGTTGAGCAACCTTTATCATTTACACACACAGAAGCACGCTTGCAACTTCTAGACTAAGGCAGTCCATGGGAACAATAAAAATACTGTACTTACAAATGTATACACACACACAGTTACACTAAGATTTAAAAACACCGTGACTGAAAAAGAACAGTCCAAAGAAAATGTTTACATTAAGTCTTTATGTATTGTCTGGTGGCCAGAGTACACCGTAGGCTCTAAACACACAAGCAACACAATATATGTTATCTTTGAATGGACCAGATGATAGATCACAATGTAACTTTTTAACTTAAATAGACAAATGTAAAAGTTCTCAAATCTGGCATTTTCCGCCGAGTATCTCGGGAAGATGAAATCAACGGGTGTATTCAAAGAGATACTTTATTCAAGACGCATTCATTTCTATAACTACAATACAGGATTGAAAGGGGGAAAAAGCTCCTACACAAACACACAAGGGAATGCTTTATTCACAAGTATTGTGCCTAAATATGCATCAAAAGTTCAACCACGGCCTGAAACAGCCATATAGTTGGAGTGCTGAAGGTTAACCCAATCAAGACTCATGTTATTTCTGCAGAACTGATTGAGAAACTTTTATCTTGATATTTAGTGACCGATAACATACTCTTGCAGGTATGACTGAGTAAGGCTGCGGAGTTCCTCTAAAGCATAGTCCTCCGGCATGGGTAGACGTCCAATGTGTGGCGCAAGCTGGCAAAGAGGGATGTGTCGGGGATCTGGGGTGCCTTCACCACCTTGCTGGAGACTCAAGACCACCCGAAGGATGTTAGCCACACGTTTGGCCATCTCTATAAGGCAAGAGAGATGCAGGGTTAATGTTAATCAAATGAGGTTACAAACTTGAGGCACTGAGGAACATCATTTCTAGCCAGTTTCATAAATTAGCAAGGAAAGCAGTTGAAATGAACTTAACAGCAACATCATTGCAGTATAAAGTTCCCACAAAACACAGCAAATGATTTTCGGACCTGATTGTGCAAGTCGGTCTTTAGCTTTGGAGCAGGGGAGACGCTCTATTCTACTGCAGAGAGACGTCACCTCTGTATGCAGTCGCTCCAGCTCATAACCTGGGCTTTCCATCTAGAGATAAAAATAGAAGACAATCACATTAGAAGTTTCTTAAACTTTTGTTCTAGTTGAACAACATACTATCCTGAGCAGCAAGAATACCTGTTGGATGTCCTGCAGCGTCTGAATGACATGGATGTAATCAAGGTAGACTCGTCCAGACGTGTCCCAGTCCTGAATCTTAACACTGCGCTCTGGCACTGCTAACCCCTCTAGGAATTCCAGAAGGTACTTATGATTATCGTTAATGATGCAGTCTGAGGAAAAAAGACAGGATGATGGAATTAGTACAGTTAGTACTATCATACAGTTTCATACAGAATTCACCAGAAGCTACTAAAAAAAAAAAGAATGTTCAAACCGAAAATACAGATTTACATATTACCTTTGAAAAAAAAATCTATAAAAGTACAAAAAGTATAGTCTAATTTTAAGCTGGGTAACCCAAACTCTAAAGCATAGCTAAAAAATGCTTAAATCACGCAGTTTCAGTCAGATTTATTGAATATAAAGTGCTGTTTGAGTTTAACAATTGGCAAGTAATTACTTTTGTTTCATAAAAGTCTCTAATTCAAATTTTTAAATGGATTATATATTACAGTGTGTATGTATGTATGTATGTATGTATGTATATGTGCGCGAGTATATATATATATATATATATATATTTTTTTTTTAACAGTATATATTACAGTGCATTTTACAGTTTTTTCCTGATGGTTTCTTCTTTGCTGTCCGATACAGCAAAGAAAGGCTCAGTGGTGAAACCACTTGCAGTTCTGCTTATGTTTACAACATAAATGTGTTGTTTAGAACTGGGCAGCAAACTGAATGCGTGTAGCTTGCATTGCTGCAGACGTGACATGTTTTTTGAGAGGCATGTTTGCGTGCTTTTGGTTTATTCAAACCTGAGGCCAAGTGCTGGATGACAAGCCGATGGCAGTGATTCCAATGGCCGGCCTTGTAAAGGTGCAAAGCCTCACTACGTTTGTCTCCCCCTCTACAAGCACGAATGGCCTTGGCCTGATGGATCCACTGGATGGGGATCAGCAACTTTTCCGTGAGAAACTGCTCTTTCTCCACTGATTCTTCCGTCTCCTCAAGGGAGCAATGCAAGTTGAGCATCTCTCTCACTGCACTCTCTCTATGCCTGCAAGCAGTTGGAAATCATCTCATGTACAATCACTCAACTCATCCTGATCCTATCAAACCTATCAAGGACTAAATGAGTACTCCGAACAGAGCAGACACTTACCCAGAGTCAGGTATGTGCAGCAGCACGAAGATTGCCATCTCCCATAATCCTGCACTCTCCAGCTGGGCAGCATAGCTGGCATGCAGCAAGCCCTGGCATGAGGTGGACAGGTGGTTGTAGTTAAGAGCCTGCAATACGTTCCACAGGTGCCAGCTCAGCCGGTAGTCCAGATGATCAGCAGTTACTGTGCTGGGATCAAGTAGCTGTTGTAGGCTATAGTGCCTAAAGAGAGGAAAAGATGATAAAATCAGCCTGCATAAATACACAGCTGTGGACACCATCATTACTTAAAAATCAGGAAAGAAAGAGGACACTATTACAAACCTGTCACTGTAAAGTTTGAGCAGGTGGAAGCAGATGTCATAGAGTGGCTTTTTGGATTCCATCTCTTCATCCAAACCCAACAACTCGAGTTCATCTACGTAAGGAGGTAAAGGAGGGCAAGCATACCTTTTCACTTCCTCTGAACCCTGAAACACACACAAATACAGTAATACAGCATTTTGAAATATATAATTACACAGATGATCAAGAATCTCTCAACAAGGTAATGCAGAAACATGACAGATTTGCTGTTGCTAGTTGCCATGGTACATAATTCTATTAGAATTTTTCTTACAGCATTGACATTAAACAAAAGTCACTGACACAAGGGCTTTTAACATTAAAGGCCTTTTCACACTGAACGTAAAAATTCAGCGCGATGATGCTTTTGAATCGAAACAATAGATCCCTATGGGGCTATTCACACCAGGTATAAGCGAGGATTTTTTTTTCATCCTGTGTGTCGATTTTTTTTCGGGCCATCCAATTAGATTTGAGATTAGATCACGTGCCCAGAGCAGCTGCTGTTGCAAAAAAGGGTGAGAATGGTGATGCTGTTTCGAAAACCGAAGAAGAGTATCCCGAGAGAGAAGAGAGGATGGATGGGGAGTTCTTGTTATCATTGGTATCTGGGAACAGATTTATTCTCACATGGTATTTATACAGAATATAATTTCTATTAATTCTCCACTGAATTATGTGATCTTAAAAGCACTGTCTGTATTCTTCCACATGCGTGAGTATAATTCTTTAAAAATCCTACAATGTGATTTTCTGGATTTTTTTTCTAATTTTGTCTCTCATAGTTGAGGTATACCTATGATGAAAATTACAGGCCTCTCTCATCTTTTTAAGTGGGAGAACTTGCACAATTGGTGGCTGACTAAATACTTTTTTGCCCCACTGTATATGAGTCAGAGCGCGTTCACTCTAGACCTATCAATCAGGCATCTCCTGCCCATCCGTATAATGGGCAGGAGATGTAAAATATTTTTATACACATGAAATATAAAAGCAAATAGACATGATTAGGATGTATTTTCTGTATGCATAAAATACATCATAATCATAACAATGATATTTTTAAAATAAAGGATGTTTATGACAAATGATAAGCAGGTTTAGTGTTCATTCCATTCTAAAATATACAATGAGTGCATGTCTGCCAAAATCAACTACAGATCACAATCAGAAGTTATTACAAGCATTCAATGACGTTTAAAGTGGACTTTAAGCAAAAACATTAATAACCACATACATTTTCAAGTGTAGCTCGATGCTAATTGTACCGCTAATTATATTTTAAGATGTATTCTTGTAAGCATTATAGATAAGTTTGTGTTTCTGGTGAAAAACTAAACTTTATTTATCTTAATGTAATGTTATTGAGCAGCGGACAATGGTCAACGGTTAAATCGATATATGAGATACATATCTGAGGAAAAATGCATTCTTGTTCAAAAGTGATAGAAAGGTTTTGTAACAAACAGCTTTACTATTTCAAATAAATGCTGTTCTTTTAAACAACTTTTCCAATATTGACAAAAAAAAAATTCTTTAGCTTCAAATCAGCATATTAGAATGATTTCTGAAGGATCATAAAAACTGAAGCCTCGAGTAAAGGCTGCTGAAAATAGCAGCTTACATTACATAATTACATTTCAAAATATATTAAAATAGAAAGCAGCTTTTTATTGTAATATTTCACAATGATGCAGCATTTTTCATCAAATAAATGTTAACCTTGGTGAGTTTAAGTTAATTCATACAAAATCATTTACAAATCTTAAATAAAAAATGCCTTCCTTATGAAACTTTATAATGTCTAAGAAACTAATATAGTTTTTCAAAAACACCAACAACTACAACAACAAAAAAAAAAAAACCTAGTGTGACATGAGGTACCTGAAACGCAGATTCATATTTGGCGAGTGCATCAGCTACAGATGCAGTGGGAGGCAGCATGTACCAGAGATGGACAGCAACACACCGCTTCCAATCAAGCTCGGAGCACACGTTTATACAACTGTCTGTTGACTGCCACACCTTTACCAAAAAAAAGAAAAAAAAAACATTTCAAATCATAAACAGTAAACACCAAAAACATGCATCTAGATTTAATGGTATACTTACTGGTTTTCCTGCAAGCAAAGCAAATATTCGCAGCCTGTCCTCGTCTATGAAGGAGTCCGTCTGCATGCTGTTCCAGTCACTGAGCTGCAGAGCCAATAGATCTCTACAAACCTTAGAGCCAACAGCCTGAGACAGTAACAGAGCAAGACGATGGTCCCCTACACACACAAACAACATCTTTATTAGAACCACTAATGTTGTTGTACAGCATGCAACTTGACATTAAGCATTCAGGAGCAAAAAATGTGCACACTCACCACTCTTCTGGGACAATTTGCAGGCCTTGCTTATGCAGTGGCCGGTAAGGTAACTGAATATGGCCTCAGCCTGGCTGTGCTGAAGGGCTCGACCCACCTCCTCCTCAATGCATTCAGCCGCACACTCAGAGAGCCAGTGCGAGAAGCTCCTCCGCCTCTCAAGCTGCTGCTGGTAATCGGAGTATTGCTCAGTCTCCACATCCCGGTCACCAAGACTACCCCAAAGAGCAGCACATAAGGTCCAAACTTGGCGCCAATGGACCAGACAAGCTAATGTGGAAAATCAAACGGATTTAATATATAATATGCATATTCATTTATTTAAATTAAATTTTAAAATGATTTAACATCCATTAAGAATTTTATATATACACAAACACAACTGTCTAAAGGTTTAAGGTCGGTAAGATTTAAAAAGTGAATAGAAAGTTAAAAAGAACAGCATTTATAAAAAAAATTAACTGTTCTGTAGCACTGTAAATGATTTTACTGTCACTTGCTAAATATAAGAAATAAATGTTATGGTCCCCATTGACTTCCATAATATTTTTTTTCCATAATATGGAAGTCAATGGGGTCTAATAACTGCTTGGTTAACTATAATCTTCAAATTATCAAGGTTTGGAACAACCTGAGAGTGAGTAAATGATTATAGATTGATAAATCCTCCTGAGAAAGGAAGAAGAAAGCACTGCATACCATCCCCTCCTCCTATATCTTTGTTGACTTCCATAATCCACTCTGCATAACCATGCAGAGCATCCACTCCTTTTGCTGGCTGGATGAAGGGACAGTAGTCCTCCGTGTTGATTGTGCTGTGCTTTAGACCAATCTCCAGTGGTCTGTGATACAGAGCAAGGCTCTCTGCTGACTGTTTGGGCTCCAGGCCGACCACCTGCTCCATACGCACTTTAAATGGACTTTCAGTGATCCTAGTATGATGAAACGAAAGGAAAAATTGAGAAAAATTCTGCTGCATTTTAGTTGTGCGTTGTTTGCACCGATAAACTATGAAGAAGCTAAACTTACGGTTTGCTTTTGGTAGGTTTGGGTAAGAAGCCAAATCCCATTATCTCTGCCGACTGCTCCTTAATTGCCTCTGTGACACTAAGTTGATCTCCACAGTGCACCAGTGTCCAATTGGGACCCCAGCCAACTCTGAAAGATCGCCCTCTGAACAAAGCAGCATCCATCAGCAGATGGCCTTTTCCTAGAGTTATGGAGCTCTCCAGAGGGACTGGGCCCCCTAGCCTGCGGGCCCCCACAGTTCGAAGAGTAGGTTCTGGAGGAGGGGCCGGCAACAGGAAGGAAGGACCCAATGATGGCCATGGAGATTCTGATGCTAGTGACTTGCTAAGCTTCTGAGGTATTCCACTAAAAGGAGCCTCTGGAAACTGGGAAAAAAGTCCTCCTCCTGAGGTGAATTTGGTTTGTAAAAGGGCTCCAACTGTGATAGAAAAGCCACAATATCAGACATGTTTTCAAGAAGTTTACTTCCCACAAGTATGTAAATTGCATTATATATATATTAGGCTGGCATACTTGATTGCTGACCAGCTCCAGAAAGCAAGACTTTGGGGGAAGCCACATCCTGTATGAGCTTTGAAGAACCATGCTCTTGAAACAAGTCACATTCATCATCGTCTGCAAAGAGAGAGGCCTTCATGATCTGTATAGAAAACAAATCAACATTAACTGAAACAACAGAATGTGACTCGTTTCTAATCTATGACTTAATTACACACGCGCTACCTGTAAGGTATGAGGGTTGATGCCCATTGAGGAAGCAATCTGACTCGATGCAGACACTGGCTCATGCTCAGCAGGAGTCTCAGATCTCAGCTTCTCCTCCAAAGTTCTCTCTCCATCCTCCTCACCCAAAACACTGTCTGCCGGGTGTTCTTGAGTAATGTCAGCCATGTCACTGTCCAACTCCGACACACGGCTGAGCAGCTCAAGAACTGCTGTACTCTACACATATGGATACAAAGAGATCAAGTCAAGTAGTCGCTCTTGATCCAAGTGCAGAGTACAGTTAAAACTAATTTTTCATCCCTATCAGACCCCTTCAGCAAAGTTAAAGTTGACAGAAAGCAAGCTTTCAAACAGAAATCAATTTTTACCTAAATAATTTCATAGACATCAAGGTTCTAGTTGCTGTCTATTCAAAACATTGCTATGAAAGCACTGTGTAGCCATGAAATGTCCTGACACAAATATTTTCTTTATTGTACCTTTATTTGTCAATAAAATACATGACAAAATCAAAACAAATTCACACACTGCCACCCATGCATTTTTCACTGCTATACTTCCAACGAAACAATCTGAAACCCCACAAGCTCATATTTGTAAAATATTAGACAGACTTTATTACTGAATGTAATATTTAAATCACCTGTTAAAAGTAAATCTAAAATACAAATGGTCAAACAAACTCTTTGCTTGTGTGTTTCACAAAAATCATAACATACAAACATACTTCATATTTTGGCAAAGATAAAGAACCCAAGCATAATGCTTGGCTGCATCTTGTTCCACTCAAAACACATTCAGAATTACCCCTGTATTATCATTCGGTCTAAACAAATCAATATTTTTATTAAAGAAAATACTGTAACGATTAATATTCCACTGAAAATGAAAAGTCTAGTCTTTACATTTAAAGCACCTGCTAATCTCAACTGCAAAGAAGAACAGTCAGCTTTACAAACTATAAATTAGATAAAAGGCAACTCCCTTGGTTATATGAACTTTCTCTGTAAACTCAATATTTAAAACATGTGCACAACATTTCAATAACTTCCGATCTCTTGGCTTCACAAATGAAAAGCATTTGAATCACTAAATCTCTTTGCGCTCTCCCCGCTGCTATTATTGCTCTGGACTGCGGGGAGCACAGCAGGTATAAGTGAACTTGAGTGGCCCTGAAGACCAATGTGTGTCAGACGCAGCGTGTTCCTCAGTCTACCTGAGCCTGTGGCGCCATCTGCTGCTGGGTCAGTGGAAGCTGTGGGATCCCAGGTGGAACACCCGTCTTCAGCTTCTTCATATCAAGCTTTGGGGGGACTTCCTCTTCTTCATCAGATTCCTGGAGTCCATACTTTGAGAAGTGGGCCACCTGTAGAGGAGAATTTGGTTACATTCACAAGACTCATACATGACATCAGCTAACTATGCAATTCAAGATCAGTCAGAAAACAAAATGTGGATTGAAAATGGAGAAGTTAATGGAATGTGGAGTAGACACGCCTCAAAGACCCAGGAGCCAATTTCGGGTCGGTATTCCAAGAAGCGGGCACCCTGTTTACGCGAGGCTGCCTCAAGCCGGCCCTCGTAGTTCATCTCAGTCAGCCTCTCTAGACTCTTAATCTGAGAGCATGTTGTCTTGTCATTGGGCCACACACCATCTAGAGTCACCTCAGCACGTCTGTGTGTTACAAGAAACAAAATACATTGCAACAACAAAGAGAAACTCAGTTTTAAAGATTGACCAAAGCAGTTGAGGAAGAGGCAAAAGCGATCCATGCACATTACCTGTTTAGTCCCTCTCCAGCAGGAGGCTTGTCTTTGTCATCAGGGTACACAATTATCTCCTTACGCCTGAAGTGCACAATCTCATCCAGGTTCATGTTGGTAAGATTCACTTCACCAGAAAAGAAAACTGACCCATAGCCTGCAAAAAAACAAAACACATTGTTGTCATGCTCCACTCATGTGCTACCAACAGTAGTCAGCATTTGAAGTGGATCAAAACAATTCAAATTTGTCTTAAGACAAGACCGCATTTTGGTTTTAGGACAACTTTGATGAAAGGTTTTGATTCACTTCAAATGTTGACTAGTGTAGATTATCATTTGTTCTTGGTGCACGGTGGTGCTTCATGCAATACTTTTACCTTTCCTGCCGACAGTGAAGTTCTCCACAATACACTCCCCATTCTCATTCAACATCCTTCCCAGCTCTTCCATTGATGGGATGGTGTAGTAGCCCACACGGGCAAGAACTATACCTGAGAGAGGACAGAAATAGCTCGGAATAAGATTGGTAGCCTATTAGTGTTGGGCGATATGGTCATTTTTCAAATCGTCATATCGCCAGTCCGTGAGATCGCCGATAGACGATATTATCGTGCATGGGTGGGTGGGGGCAAGAGAGAGATTCTCTTTACTTGTCATAGGTTATTTCATTAGGGCTGTCATGATTATGAAATTTGGCAGACGATTGTCTAAAAATAGTCACGGTCTACTGTTTTAGGGCTTTAGCGATTATGCAGATTAATTGTCTGTTTTTATGGCTTTCATTATTTAATTGATTAATTTAAGGGTTCAGTAAATAATTATGATGTTATCTTTTAATCTTTTCGAGTTATTATTTTGCAGTGTAAGATTACATAGAGTATTCCCAATTCTAAGAATTGGCCAATACCGATCCAACACCAGCGCTATTTTTTTTCTGCACCACTACAGAATATCAATCCTGTGTTTGTGGAACTAATGGTCACTCTTTTAAACCCTTTGTTAAACGCAATCCACTAAACACTCACTTCCTCATTACAGAGAAAAACTACATTTGAATAAAAATATATAAGCTATGAAATTAAACTAGCTGACTGTATAATTTAGCAGCAAAAACAATATCTTGAAAAAAAAAATCTTTGGTGCACATTATACACGTTTATGCTGTTAACTATTTGTATTCTTACAAAATACGTTTATGAATATAAGATAGAAATCATGAGAAAAAGAAAGGCTTCTAATAATCTTTCTGTTTGTGATAATTCCTTCCTTCCTTAAAGAATTATAATGGGAATATATCATCTTGGAGAGAGAGTTTTACCGTGCTGACTGTCATAACTGAACGTGACGTGCTGTTAGAATACTGAGCGGAGAATGACTGACAGCTGCAGCAGAAGGAAGATGAGTTTCTGTAAACCTAAATTCTGTCCCTCACATTAAGATATGGAATGGCTTCAGATGATATAGCTGGGCTCCAGACTGCAACCATTTTTTCTGCCTGTGCGACTAAATTTTGTGTGCGGTCGCACTGGCGCGACCACAGCGTTGGTGAACTCATAAGCACTGCAATTTCTGTTGCATATGAGAAACATCAAACGGCAAACAAAACTGAAAGCATAATGAAACGGCACTTGGAGAGTATACTCGCCACCTCAGCACGAGCGCGAAGGTGTGCGCAGCAAAAACAACGCGCATTGAGGAAACGATGGACGGTTTTCAAGCGAAAGTCAAGTAAAAGACCGCTTCTTAAACCAGAGAAGGTGAACATGCTGGTATTCTTGTGGGGGGAAAAAAACATGCAAGCACTGTCACCGTTAGTTTTTCTTTTCTTTTTGTTTTCATTTTTGAAAAACTTATCTTTGCCGTTTACCTCACATTACGCTATGGAGGCTCTCTTTTATTTATTTGATTCCTCAGTGTTTGCTAAATGTTCTGTAATTTATTAGTCGGTATATAATACAGCATGTGGTGTGTGCCATGCCTCATCTTATTCGTTCTTACTGATTTATTGTTGTTGTGCGTTTTAATTAATAATAACTATGAATCCATCTTTTGTTTCAGTCTTAAAAAAAAATTAAAGGTGTGTAGATGCATGAAAGCAAAACAGTGACAACAAGATCGCGAATTCGAAAGTGAAAGCATCCGAAGCCCATGGCTTAACACAGCAAAAGAGAAAGAAACTCCCATTCACAAAATTGAAATCACAAATAATACTACTGATGATCAAGAACGGGTTCAATGTTAACCACTTTCGTTTCCATATAACTATAAACATTGATAAAAGTTCATCAGCATGCATTGAATGATCCCATGCTGTAGAGCAAAAATAAATAAATAAAAAATATTGCGACCAAATCATGTGCTCGTGCGACCAGCTGAGATAGTTAGTTGCAAAAGAGCGACCAGTGGGAAGAATGAGTCTGGAGCCCTGTATAAGCTATACAGTGCATGAAAAGCAAACTGGTGTTCTTCCGTTTCTTTTGGTGTATGACTCCCCCTTGTCTCATATAAAAAGCACAATAATAATCGCGATTAGACGGTTATTTAATTATCGCGACAGGCCTATAATTTCATAACTATTTGGTGTTTTAAACCACGCGCGAGAGAGAGAGGGAGCCTATGGAAGCACCACGAATCTAAATAATATACTTTCAAACATACTGATAAACTAACATGTTAAATACAAAAATATTTAAAACAGCTAGTTCATATATATTCGGATACAACAGTCATACATCGCTATTAGGACCGCACATCCTGTGACAAGTTTGCTGCATCGACGCACCGAAGTTAACAGTCTGGGGTGCGTTTCCCAAAAGCATCGTTAGCTAAACTATGGTAGTTAGTTCCATTGAAATCTATTGGTAACGACGGAACTTGCGACCATATTTGCGTTTGGGAAACGCACCCCTGGTTTGCAAAATCAGTCAACGGTGAAAATCAAAAGTAGATTTATTTTAAAGACCAACAGTTTAACACTAAATATTGGACATAAACGAACACGTTAAATATAAAGTATTTAAAACAGGTAAGTTCATATATTTGGAGTAAATTTAAACAGATACATCAGTCATACAGCGCTCCTGACCTCGCGCCCAATGATGAGCCCGACGCACCGCCACAGAAACAAAAATGAGATGCGTTCTAACATAACTGTGGCATTAAACTCAGTTAGTGATGGCTCGGTTAAAATATTGCACATATATAGGCCATTCAGATTACTTGTTAAAGTGCAACGAAATACCTTATATCAGCAGACGATATGTGTCTGTGTTTGTGGTTGGAGGCTCCTTCACTGGCTACAGGCTCCTCATTTGCACACGCGTGTGTGAAATACAGTGCTGAATGAAAAAGCGGGGCAATTTGATAATAGCCGAATTATAATGGGCCGCCCAATAATAATAATAATTATTATTATTATTATTAATACATTAATAGGAGAATGAGCCTAATATCGTCTTGACTATCAACAAAGAGATCTGCTATCGTCTATCGGCACAACCCTATAGCCTATCAAGTATAGTGTACGTTTTGAAGAATGTCAACCGAGACAAGCATACCAGCTGGGTGAGGAGGTTTCAGAGCCTCCAGGTCCTCATCTCTCTCCTCCTGAATGGAATCCTCTGCTAGAGAGATGTCCTCGCTGCTGGCCTCCAGGCCATTGCGATGACTGGCAGTTCCACGCATGTTGAACTCAGAGATTGTGTCCTGTAGCAAGGGGCTCGGCTGGGCGTGTGGAATTAGTTTGGTGATCGGGTTTGTGTAGAACTTGGAGACCTCCAGATCATCCTCCCCACTTCTCTCCACAGTTACTTCTCTGGTCTCTCCTTCATCCATACTCAGACTGACGTGTGACAGGAAAACATTGAAATATATGGTTGCATCTTTACTAACTGTAATGGTTGAGAACTAGTGTGAACTTACCGGAGTCCGTTTTGTGGGTATTCTGAAGGAGAGGCCAAGTCATCAGCCTCTCTGTTCACAGAGCTGTTATACAGACTGCTGTTATTCAGATTCTTCAAAACAAGCTTCTTTATGCTCTTCCTAAAACAAGAACATGCAGACAGGAACACTTTAGTTAGTGCACTACATCTTGAGCTACATGTACAATAAGAGTAGCTGGAGTTATGAAGTCAGGTTCTTACCTAGGCATGAAGGCTCCATTGTTAATAGAGGGTTCATCATCATCAAGTCCATCAAAGAGCTGAGATTTGGAGGAGCCTGAGGAGGACAGAGCTTTGGGACGAACACGGGTGGCAGGACGAGGGGTCAGTTTGTACTGAGTAGGGGTAGTCAGGGCTTTCTGGGCAGCTGGATTTGTGGGCTTCAGACGCTAATGATGCAGAAAATATGTTAGCAGTGAATGTACTGTGCTAAATGGTGAAAAAAAACAAGTGGTCTTTTATGGAGCCACTCACTAATCTATTAAAATAACCAATATGTGCAAGCACCATGTAAACGGTAAAATCAAACCTCTTCCTTCTTCTTTGGGTCTGACAGTGGATTTCTGAAGAGGGGTGAGTCTCCAAAAGGAGAGTAGGCCAATGCATTGATCTGCTGTTGGAGGACAGCCTGCTGCGCAGCTGATGAATTAGGGTCAGTCAGAGCTGTGAACAAAACATAGTATACCAGTTATTTATTTGACAGAATCTCAAAGAGATCTACCTCACATGAAGTGCTCAATTTAACATGACTACAACCAATTATGGGAATGAAATAATTTATGAAGCATCTGCACTGACCCACAGGCTGTTGAGGAGCACCAAAATTCAGAGTGTTGGCTCCAGTGTTGAAGCCTCCAGTCCCGAAGGTGCCCACTGACCCTAGGGTGGAGCCCAGCTTGTTCTGGTTGTTCCCAAACAATGATGTCTGGCCAGTTCCTACAGCTGAAAATACAGACTAATACTTAGAAACCATGTTTTCATTCTTACAATAACAAATGACAACAAAAATCATGCACCCCAAAACATACCTCCTCCAAAGCCAGTTCCCAGTCCTGTTCCCAGGCCTGTCGTAGCAGTTTTGCTCCCAAAGAGACCCACACCAGTACCGGTTGCACCAAATCCTTTAAAGTACACCAACATTGACATTTGAGAAGAAATATATCGGAATTTCTAGATCAGATCTAAGTGCACACTGGTGAAATGGCGCCAACCACTTTCTTCACCAAAACTGGGAATAATTTGATTACAGCAAATACTAGTCAGTGTTAACTTCATACAACTTTATTGTTAAAGGCTTACCAAAGGTTGAGGCGTTTGTGTTAGTCCCTAGAGTAAGCGTAGGCTTATTTGCAAACAGACCAGTGCCTGTTCCAAAGGAGGGTGCGCTAGTTGTGGTGGCGCCAAATCCAGCAGGCTTATTACCAAAAAGATTCTGTGAAATAAAGATGACAAGTTAACCATTTAGAAAAACAATGCAAAAAAAAATCTAACTTACATTTGAAAACCTAAAAATTTACTTTTTAAAAATACAGAAGAGAGAAAGGTACAAAAAAAGAGAGGTAACTGTAGCCTCTCCAGAAGTCACCTGTGTTCCCACATTCCCAAAGCCAGTGTTCGTTTGCCCGAAAATTCCTGTGCCGAAGCCTGCGGCCGTACTTGTGTTAGTGTTTCCAAACAGTCCTCCAGCCTGAGAGGCAGCAGTGTTGCCAAACAGCCCCTTAAAAATAAAATATTGGATGAAACGCAGAATTAACCAGGGCTCGTATTCACAAAATATTTTACCTTACCACTAAGAGTTCTCCTAAATAGCAGTAAAAGTTTTTAGCTACGAGTTTTCTCTTAAAACCTATTCACAAAGCTGCTGAGAAACATTTACTAAGAAATAGAGAGAAGTCTTAGGCCAAGAGTAAGAGCGGGGTTGACCTCGTTGCTATGGATGATGTCAGCATACTTACTAACTATGCACACAGTGATTGGCTGATAGTCTAAGTCAGAGATTTATTCATGGAAATATTGTAGAGCACAATATTATGTTGCCATATTCAAATAAAGGTTTAAAAATTAAAAATACAAGACGGTATTTTTTTTTTCCATGCATGTTAACCATATTTTCTACTGATTGAGAGAGGAAATACTGCAGTATATTGACTTCGAATGCCCTATTTTACTGTCATGAGGAGTGAATAGTCAAAAAATACCACACTAAATAGTGACTAAACATGACCCCTTTTAATACATGTTAACCAGGAGTCACTCATTTATAATCGCAGCATCGTCTGATAAAATCAACATGCATCTACACTAAAGAGCGGCTATGCGGTTGTTTTGGCTATATTACTTTTTTTCTCATGCGGCGCACTGCCTGCGTCTTGAGTAACAAACTAAAAAAAACAACAAACAAAAAAGTGCATGTGATATTAACAGATGAAATACGCTCATATTTATAATTCCAAACAATCAGTAAGCGACAGGTGCTAGGAAACGCTGTTTTGTACTCCTTTATTGACGAGTCGGTTGCGGTGCGGCCAACTGAATGCGCTGCTTCTCTTCCGCTCACTGCACATAACAGACGCCGAGAGAGGTGACACTTCTTCGGGAAAGTCAGACCTCGCGTTCGCGGGACAGCACTGGCGAAATCTTCCAACTGAACCATAGCTAAGGTTCATACAAAAAAGTCGCTAGGTTTGTCAGTATGAATATTCTATGTAAAAAATCCGCTAAAAGGGTCTGAAAGTTACTAAATCTAGTGCTAAAGTCACGCTCATGTGTGTGAGACATGGGAGCTGATGGCAGGGGGCGGTGGATATTTGTGGCGGTCAGTGTGGATATTGTGGATGAGTTCTTCTGTGTCATCACGTTCTATTAGTTCTACAGCTTTAGTTTCGGAACTGTCACGCTTAGTAACACATACAGCTGTTCCCTCACCACAGTGCAACACCCCTTTTAAACAGTGTCGCGTTCCGAACACTGTTTAAGTGACATATACCGGTATTTTCAAAATTCATATCATAACAAAAATAAAAACCGGTATTCGGTATACCGCCCAGCACTAGGTTAAAGTGTGAACTGTTTTAGTAGAGTCCCAGGTCATGCTCTCATTTTGTCTCTCATAGTTGAGGTATACCTATGATAAAAATTACAGGCCTCTCTCATCTTTTTAAGTGGGAGAACTTGCACAATTGGTGGCTGACTAAATACTTTTTTGCCCCACTCTATATACACATACATACATAAATATATATTTTATAGCCTATTATTTAGGTACTTATAAGCCATAGTTTGACAGAATGTTCTAATTCAACATGCCATGGGAAGTCAATCTAATTTAACATTTTCTTATATTGATATTGTTTATGTCTTACTCCTTAACAGTTCATCAGGCTCTTAATGATTTAATCTATGCCATCTTTTGAAATATCTGAAGGCCATGTACCATAGTTCTTAACTGAAGCATTTGTTATCAGGCCCGTAACCAGCTATGAGGCCACCGAGGTCCGGACCTCGGTAAATTTTTCATGTTCAAAAATAAAATGTGTTCTTTGACTAATTTGCTGTTAAACTCCTGAAGTGAACGAGGCTTGAGAGAGCTGTGAGAGTAGTGATGACCGGTTCGCGAACGAATCGCTCGATTTAACCAGTTCTTCTTAGTGAACCGGTTGAACCAGTTCACCAAATCAGACTGAATCGTTTGAAACCATTCGCATCTCCAGTAAGCATTAATCCACAAATTACTTAAGTTAATTTTTTTAACGTGGCTGACACTTCCCGGAGTCAAAATAAACCAATATCCCGGAGTAATTCATTTACTTAAACAGTACACTGACTGAACTGCTGTGAAGAGAGAACTGAAGATGAACACGAGCAGAGCAGCATGTGTGCAGCGTGCCGGGTAACGAACGTACACGCCCACTGCTGGAGCAGTTCTCGTTCTCGAGTCAAGAACTGGTTGCATCGGTTTTCGGATCATCAGTACACTGAACCGAGAGCAGTTTCTTTCGGACACGTCCGATTTGAGAACCGATGAGCTGATGATACTGCACATGCGTGTAATTTTTCAAGCGGACGAAAAGCATGTCATCCAAGTATTTTGTTATACATCGGTTATAAGTGTGATAATATATTTTATTTTACTTTTTTTTAAAAAGATGAATGGATCTAATCTGTGTACTTTGTTCAGTTGAAGATTCTGTTAGGTTATAGGCCAAAGGGGTTTGTCAGGGAAGTTGGACAATAATTAAGACTTTGTTTAATAGGAATAAGGGACGATTTATGAAATACCTGTACTGTAATTATAGTTAACGAGGACACATTCACAAATTGAGTTTGTAGTAAATAGAACATGAACACGAGTAGAGCAGCTAATGATATACTGAACGTGCGTGCAGAGGCTTGACTCGCCGTTCTCAAGTCAAGAACCGGTTGCATCGGTTTTCGGAACACCAGTACACTGAACCGAGAACCGTTTCTTTCAGACACATCCGATTTGAGAACCGATGAGCTGATGATTCAGCGTGAAGCTACCGAACAGATTGCCTACTATGACTGACGCCCTAAAAGAACCGATGAACCGGTTCATTGAAACAAACTGTCTGAAAGAACCGGTTCACGGAAAAGAACCGAACTTCCCATCACTATGAGAGAGGGCGCGGGCGCATCCTCCGTGTTGCCAGATCCAGCTATTATAAGCGTTTTTGGACTTGTCTTTTCCACTTAATTTAACACTTTAGAAAGTTAATAAAGTAGGAAGTCGCAGTTTAGAGTTAGAATCTTTATTTTATCTTATTTGCAAAAGATTGGAAATGATTTTGGTTTATTTTTAGTTTTTTGTTTGTTTTAGTATCAATATCTGGCAACACTGCATCGCCGGAACTTAAACTGAAAGCAATCAAAAAAGCCCATGGACAGGTTTTTGCTGACAGAATACAAAACGCAAAAATTACCATGATATCATCTGTCATAAACGTTATCAACGCTGTCAAAAACAGTAGCATTTAACACTAGTACACACAGATCTGTAGAACAAGTAGGTTACAGAATGAAATGACGCAAAAACTAGCCATGAAGAAGTCTATGCCATGTCATTCAGTACAGTTACATTTTCACAAATCATGCTATAAACTTTCATAAGAGCACTAGACAAAGTTATTGTAGTTATGTATTGTTGCATTAAACAACTGATAAAATTATCCACCCTTAAATACAGTGGCGGCTCATCGGGGGAAGCACAGCTTCCCCAAAATTTTGAAGTGAAAATGGGAGGACGACGATCTAATGTTAATAAAATTCACAATTAATTTCAGTTCATGTCTCAGAATATGTATTTTTTTTTGTAATTTCACAGCTGTAATACCATAACATGTTACTGAAGCTGGAAAGCGCCGCTTTTCTATTGTGAATGTGCCGAATCTGCTGATGAAATTACAACCGCTAATGATAGAGAAGGGGAGGGGGAGGCCGGGGGAGAGCTGAGCTCTTGTGCCTCCGCTGGTAAAAAAAAATTAGCCAATCACCATCTAGTGTTCACTTTCAGCACTGAGGAGTGTTGAGAAAAGAAACCTCGTAGGGGAGGCTAGCCTCCCTTCTGATATCAACCAATCATCCTAGAGACGTAAATTACGTGATATTAGTTTGAACATCTCCCGCTGCGCTGATAATGTACCAAGTACTTATGAGTAGCGATATTGAATATTTGATCGCCAACAGATTTACCAAGCTATCATTCAAACAGTAAATTAAAAATAAAGGGAGAACATGCCTAAGCTGGATATAGGCTACAGCAGTCAGCTTAATTAAATGGCACAACAGGCAGCTCTCTTTTAACACAGACTTTTAAGAAGGGATGGAGATTTGTTTCAAGTGTTAGGCCAGGTAAATGAAATTATATTATCTTGCTGTATGTATGCGTGTCGTTTTCTTTACGTTTTCTGACTAAAAGCAACCAAAAAGTGGTTAAGCAAATACTACTACTACTAATAATAATAATTAGGGATGCACCGATACCGATATCGGGCCCGATACTGGTCTCCTGTACTCGTTAAAATGCCCCGAAACCAAACCCCGATACCACACAGCATGTGATAAGCGCCATATTCAAACAAAGAAACACAGACAACAGAAAGGAGTTAAGGATGACTACTACGAAGTATATGTATGCAATGAATATAATGTTAAACGTTCAGTATTAACGCCTGTATAGCTGATCTGCGCGAGCTGATAAACAAAGCACGCTGAGTGGATTGAGCGTGCGGCCGCGCAGATGTGCGAGCTTGTCGAGTGAATATATCTTTCTCACAGACATCACTGGAAAGTTTGTAGTTCGGTCAGATATGTCAAAAACCTTAGGCATACACGACTTTCTGGCGAAAGTGAGAAAATGCGCTGTACTACTGTCCTCTCATTCTACACCAGTACAAATACCTGCATGCGTTACGTGTGTTTTGCTTGCTTGAGTGTTTCTGCATTATATGAGTGGCTTTGGAATATAAATCGCAGCACGTTTCAGATGAAAACACGCGACTTCTATTTCTGAAAATATCACAGTAAGGAGATTTATAACGAGTGGTTCCCTGCATTATTACAGCAAAGCGCGTGATTACAGTACTAAGCCGCTGCAATGGAGAAGCTCTAATGCTATTAAATTAAAGATGTACCATAGAGCAAAAAAATTAACAGTGAAAGTAACAAAATCTTGTAAAATACATTTTAATGGGCATAAAACAGTGAAAGTAACAAAAACTTGTAAAATACATTTTAATGGGCATAATTAAGTGTGAAAATAACCGAAGGATCTACAGTGAAACCAAAAATGATTCAGAGACCAGATATAATTTTTGATATTTGTTTTACTAGTGGGTGCAGGACACTATAGTTCATTTATGTAAGTGGGGATAGCAAAATAAAGTAAACTGTGACAAATCATACCCAAAAATTCTTCCTACAGTGGACTACCAGTAAAATTGATACAAATTTGGGTCCAACAATTATTCAGACCGAGTCTGGGAAAAAAACTGAAGTTGAGGTTTGCATGAAGCTGGATGACAGCATGCCCAGGAGACTACAGGCTGTCATTAAGGCTAAGGGTTGCCTGACTAAGTATTCATAGTTGTGTAAATACTGTCATACTAACAGCTGTCTGAATAACTTTTGGTTGATTGTAATCTATTACATACCTTTCTATCAAAATTATCTAACTTTATCAAGATGAATTTGTTCTGACCAAGTTTAACTGAGTTCTTGTCATATTTTATTACCATTTTCTAAACTATAGCGAATAAACTGTGATAATGTGAGAAATGTTGAAGGTGTCTGAATACATTTTGGTTTGACTGTATCTATTTGATAAATGAAGTTAACCAACTAACATTATACATACCCTTTTGGTTTCTGTACCCAATATTTAAAAAATTTACAAATGCAACAAAAATATCGGTATCGGTAATCTGTATCGGCAAGTACCAAAAATAAAATTATCGTATCGGGCGAGTACTGGAAAAAGTGGTATCGGTGCATCCCTAATAATAATACTAATAATAATCGGCAGGGATCCCAGACCAATACAATTAGTGTGTCTCTATTTTAAAGGGGTCATATGATGCGATTTCAAGTTTTCCTTTCTCTTTGGAGTGTTACAAGCTGATTGTGCATAGATAAGATCCCTGAAGTTGCAAAGACTAAAGTCTCAAAACCAAAGAGATATTCTTTATCAAAGTTAAGACTCTGCCACGCCCCCTTAAAACGGTTCGTTATAACATGCCCCCACATATCTACGTCACTACACTCTTAAAAATAAAGGTGCTTCAGAAGGTTCTTCAAGCGATGCCATAGAAGAACCATTTTTGGTTCCACAAAGAACCATTCAGTCAAAGGTTCTTTAAAGAACCATCACTTTCTTACCTTTTTATAATCTGAAGAACCTTCTTTCACCACAAAGAACCATTTGTGAAACAGAAAGGTTCTTCAGATGTTAAAGGTTCTTTATGGAACCATTTAGACAAAAAGGTTCTTCTATGGAATCGTGAAGCACCTTTATTTCAAATGTGCATGCAAAGAAAGAAGGCGTGGTTTCAGTAACCGTTAGTGTTGAAGCAGCATGTCAGGGAGACGCTGTGTGTTTCTAGGTGAAAGCAAAAGCACTTTATTTGGCCTTCCGAAAGTAGATGCATTTAGGAATCTTTAAGATTACTTACAACAGAACAGCAATGCATTTTATGTAGGGCTGAAGGATTAATTGCATTTGCGATAATATCGTGATATGAAATAACGCGATTTTTCAATCGCAGAGGCTGCGATTACACGGTCACGTGACACGCGAGAGTAAAGAGGTGTGTTCGACTTGAAGATCAGATCGGTGTATGACATCAAAGTACGGCGAGAGAAAGCATAAGGAGACGTCCGCGCTCTCTTATAGCTCTCGCAGTACTTTGATGACACACCCATCGGTCTAAGCAGCGCTGCTTCAAGTCGAGCGCGGGCCATTAGCAGAAAAAGAAAATAAATAAAACGGTAAACAGCCAAAGGACGTAACTCAGAATGGGAGATGGATCGGTGTGTGAAAGCGAAGAGAAAAGCCGAAGATGAAGTCGCACAGACCCAGGCAGGTGCTGGTCATTTAAAAGCTAAATGCAGAAAATATGACGAGGCATATCTTGCTCTCGGCTTCACTCACTGGGTCTATACCAGACGCTACAGTAGTCGCGTCACAACGCAACTGCTCTACACTGGATGCGACAAAGCGACCTTTGCAAATCATTTTATCTTTGTGTCAGTATGACATAAATAGAACAAGACATCAGTTTAATGTCGGGTTTTGTCGTGTCGCGTCGCATCCAGTGTAGACAGCGTCACTGATTATAATGGTTCTACTGTATTTTGCCGCTCGCGTCCGGTGTAGACACGGTGTTTAATGTCGTTGGTGAGGAGGACAGACTGCGTGTCCTATGCCTTAGCGGACAGCATTAAACCCACAAAAAATAAATAAATAACAGCGAGAGAATAATTATAATAATAATAATAATAATAATGTTATTCTCTCTATGCTGTGTGTTGGGCATACTATACAATGATTTATAGCTTGTCTTTGTTGAATAATACAGAACATAAAGAGCTTTAAAAATATTAAATCGCAATCTTGGTTAAAAAAATTAATAAAATAAAATAATAAAATAATAATAAAAAATAAATAAATCGCAATTAGATTTTCCAAAATCGTTCTAAAGCATGTCAACATATTCTGTTACACCAAATACACAAAATTATCTTTAAAAAAAAGCATCATATGACCCCTTTAAATCCCACGAGCCGTCACTGCTTAAATATAGTAAAGTATTAACAAATTTTGATGGGGGGCATATACTTAATTAGATAAGTGTATGTTCAGCTTTTTGTCAGCCTCTTACATGCTTCTTAAAAACAATTAGCTTTAATTACCTTTTAATTAACAGAGTAGAATAATCTTGGCTGATAGTAAGACATGCAAATGTAAAAATATATATATATTGGCCGCAAGAACAGCTGTTACTTCTTGCCAAAATGGTTAATGAAAACAGGATATAAATCAAAAGAAAATTTGGAATTGGGGTAACCTTCAAAACCAAAGGTGATAGCTTTTTAAAAGGTCATTATCATCAAATGTTTACGTTCAGAAACAGATTGCCAGCAACAGCCATTTTAGGAATAGTTTGTGGCTTGGTCTTAGTGACTTAGGAGTCCTCTTCACTACTCCTAACCTTTCACAGATTTAGGAGCTAGTTTTAGTGCTAAAACACTTTGAGAAATACTCGGAGCAAAAATGTAGGAGTCCTAAATTTAGGATGGACACACCCATTATTTTTAATATATTCTCCTAAATCGGCGAGTTATAAGCTTCTTTTAGCCTTAAGATGTTTTGTGAATACGGGCCCAGATGTTAGATTAATAAGATCAGTTAAGAATATTTAGTAAGTCAGTGCAGACATTTACTACTGCTGGAACTCACCATGCTGCTGCTGTTGCCAAAGGAGAAAGTGTTGTTTTGGGTGGTGGTAGCTGAGCCAAATGGTTTGAAGAGACTGGAACCTTGCTGTTGTTGTTGTTGCTGTTGCTGTTGTTGTTGCTGTTGCTGTTGCGGCTGGCCAAACAAACTTCCTGTAGCTGTACCAAAGGCCCCGGTGCCTGCAGTGCAAAGACTTAGCACACTTTTTCAACACACAAAAAAAAATCCAAATAAAAAATTAAGGAAGAACCAATTACTTGTGCCAAATGAGGTCTTGTTCTGGCCGAAGCTGAAGCCAGTGTTTGGAGTTGAGGATCCAAAGAGTCCAGTGCCAGTACTGGGAGTAGCTGTGGCTGCTGCACCAAAGAGGCCACCCGTGCCAGCTGCCATGGGGTTGGAAGGACCCTTCCTTCCTGCCTGGTAATCCTCAAACCTTAATTCCTAAAATCAAGGAAAGAAAGGCATAGATATTTCATCATGGCTTTAAATCTTCAAAACTCTAGACAACAGAATTGTTACACATTTTGTTCTCTGCTTTATCAAAGCACCTGACAAACAGTGCTTGTGACAATTATTTCAGCAGGCTGCCAAGTACTAAAACAACTATCACAACAAGAGAATCCAACCTACCTCTAGGGATTTGCTCTCGTATTCCTTCATGGCAGTGATACACTGATGTTTGGTGTTGATGCTGGTTGTCACACCTCCTTTTACCATTGTGTCACTCCCAGTTGGTGGCTGCAGCAAAACGCAAAAGATTTAGGTAAAAAACCATGTACGAAAAAGTAGCTAAATTACCAGTAAGAAAAAAAAAAAGAAAAAAAAAAAAGTATAATAATTTCTAAACGAACATTGAATTTGATTGTTGTGCCAGGGGGAGCAGCAGTGAAACTTGATGACCCAAACAAAGAGCCTGATGTTCCTCCAAAAGGGTTGGATGTTGTGTTGGTTGTCCCGAATAATCCACCGCTATTGGTGCTGGTACCGAAAGCTGCAAAGCAATTGAAACAGTTACTTAGGTCCATTATGTCTGAGCTATTCTTTTAATCCAAGACACTACTTCTACAATAAATCAAACAATTTATAGCTACATTGGAATGCTGCACGAAACTTACTGCCAAAATTGGCTGGTTTGTTGGCACCAAAGGCATTATTCTGCTGGGAAAACAATCCTCCACCTCCAGTGTTGGTGCTTCCAAAAAGGCTGTTTGATGTGCCACTGGTAGCACCAAACCCAAACCCACTACTGGTGGAGGATGTGACAGGCTGACTGAAGGTGCTTGAGCCAAATAGGCCACCTTGAGGACAGACACAAATTTGAATACAAATCACACTGTTGACCAAATACAACATTCTTATGGGACTACTCTTAAGCAATAGCACATCAGTTTGTAAATAATCACAACAATCAACAAACAATCTTTCCTCAAAACCACCTTTAAATCAATAATTGTCAGCCAAGTTTTCTCAGTGAGTCACCACTTGACTGAATTGGATTCATTCATTATTAGCAAACTCACTTTTGAGATGATTTAGTCAGCAGCAATTTTTTTGTTTTGTTGCAGCTTAAGTCATCACTATCATGCTCTATTTTGCAAATGACAAACATGCAGAGTAAAATCAAATTAGTGAGAACTACTGGTCCTGCAAAACCAACAGGCAGGATCACATTGTCATGTTACATCTACACAAATAAATGAAAGCTAAATCTTACATAAGGAACAAACACAAGCAAATAAAAAATAAAACAATGTTTTAAAAACTGATAGATTCTATGAGCATTTAAAGATGGCTCTGAGATTCTGCATACACCTACAGAAAACAGCATACCAGGTTTGTTCTGGGTGGTCCCGAACAGTCCCCCTGTGTTGTTTGTTGCCCCAAATGCTGATGATCCAAAGCCTCCTGTTGCTCCAAATCCAGTATCTGATGACAAAAGTAACAAAATTCTTTGTCTCTGTACAGTATTAATTCTTAGTTCTCAAATTTCTTTACATATAAAATACCATAGCATACATATTAACTTACTTTGTTGCCCAAATGTTGAAGTAGTCCCAAATCCTCCTGTCCCTCCCCCAAAGGGAGCACCAAAAGATTTGTTGAACATCTTGCACTGCTATAGAGCCTGCATATGTCTGCACAAAACACAAAAGCTTTCAGTTCTAGCACAGGAAATACACTTCAGCTGATTTACTAACAATCAATTTATTCTATATATAAATGGTTATTATTAGGTGTTCCAACATTTTGTTCACTACCATGCTGAACTGCCAATATTACAATGACTAAAATTATTTATTTCCATAAATATCACGGACTGGTGTTTCTGCTAGGACCAACTGCTGGAAATGATTGGAGGAAAAGGAAAAAACAAAAACCCGTTATTCACAATCTTCCAAATGCCTTCTCCCCTCTGAATAATAGTTAATGATTTTAGCAAGTAAAATGACTTTTAGTATAGCCTAATTCTAAAAACGTGGTACACATCTTTTAGCTAAGAAATCTTTAATGTTTTATGAAGTAAATGCAAAAATAGGCTACATTTTATATTGTCAGTAATATTTCAAGATAAACATACACTTAGGGCTGAAATGATTCCTCGAATACAAAAAATTTTCGAGGCAAATTATTTATTTGTTTAGTCCATTTACTGTAACTACACACGGAACACCGTGTTTCCCCAGGGACCATTAATACTGACACACAACTCGATAAACGCTGGACCAGACCATAGATGATAGACTGTATAAAAACAGGGACCAGACTTTAAAAAAAAAAAAAAAGCGCTTGACATTTAAAACCGTAAATCAATATGGTGGCTAGTTATAATGTCCCTATGTTAGCTATGTTTTGTGAAAGACTAAACGCCATTGTGCATAAAAATACCACAGAAAGAAAGTTAGTCAATATTAGGGCTGCACGATAAATCGAAATGGAATCGAGATCGCTATTCGACAGAAGCTGCGATTGTCATGCGTATTTTTCAGTGAAGCACAGTTCTGTGATCAACAGTAAATCTCCATCCAAAGGCTAGAGGGCGCACTCGCGCTGAAACTCCAAATATGCCTCGCAGAAGAAACCCAGAAAATGCCTATCGCTGCAGCTGAATAAACAGAAGATTCAACTGCTTTCATTGATTCAACGTGACTAATAAACACACGGTTTATCTGAGTTCTTATTATTATAATTTTCATTAAAATAAAGTATATAATGCAATGCCTTTATCACTGCTTAAATACTATGAAATATGTTGCGTGCCTTATTCTGTGTAAGAAGCCACATCATCTCACAGAAGGATTTATTTCAAACACTTGACTGACGTTATGAAGTGAGTTTGGAGTAAAAATATGTTATTAAATTTGGTATTTTCACATGCTTTCAGATGGAGCAGCATTTACTTCACAGAGCCGTAGTTCACTGAGAAGCTATGCAACCAGCTGTCATTATCACGAACGATTTCTTCGATTTCATAATTGCGCAATAAAATCGTCTGCGATTTTTTTTTGCGTAACTTGTCAGTGAACTACGGCTATGTGTAGTAAGCTCTGCTCCATCTGAAAGCACATGATGATGATTTCCTGCTGATTACAGAACCGGCATTACGATCAAAATGCGCATGACAATTAGGGGTGTGCGATATATATCGTCTGCGATAATATCGTAATTGTTGTTTTAACTATGTGCGATTTGACATTATCGAGTATTTTGCAAAAACCATTCAAAACATCCCTACAGAACGCATGCATACATTATGTGAAGTCTAAACTAGTGCGTGTGCGCATTTAGCGTGTTTTCTTTCACTGCATGATTCAAGTCTATTAAAGGGGTCATATGATGCGATTTCAAGTTTTCCTTTCTCTTTGGAGTGTTACAAGCTGATTGTGCATAGATAAGATCCCTGAAGTTGCAAAGACTAAAGTCTCAAAACCAAAGAGATATTCTTTATCAAAGTTAAGACTCTGCCACGCCCCCCTAAAACGGCTCGTTCTAACACGCCCCCACATATCTACCTCACTATGTGGAAATATTTGCATAATGCTGCCCAAATGTGCACGCAAAGAAAGGCGGCGTTTTTTCAGTAACCGCAGTTAGTGTTGAAGCAGCCATCTCAGGGAGACGCTGTGTGTTTCAGTGCAAAAGCACTTTATTTGGCCATCCGGAAGTAGATGCAATTAGGAATCTTCAAGATTACTTACAACAGAACAGCAATGCATTTTATGGACGACCGTTTCGTGAACCTAGGAGAGGAGGTAATTCTGAATTTACTATGACAATCTGGCGCTTCTGAATCAGCTACTGTTTTGTTATTAGTTTAAGTATTTGCTATTGACTGTTCAAATGCAGAGTTTTGCGCATCGTGTGTGTGTGCGTGCGCGCGTGTGAGAGAGAGAGCGAGAGAGCTCAAAGTGGAGGCAGCTGTCTTAACCGTGGCTTGCAAACACATACCAGCTTCATCACTGTGTGTCAGTCACGAGACTCTGTTCCCCTTTCATTCTTTACATTTATTTTGAAAGATGAAGCACGTGATTATGGTAAGGGGCGTTACATTTCCGATGAGTGCTTGCGGTGTTCGGCCAATCACAATGCACTGAGTCAGCTGGCCAATCAGAGCAGACTGCGCTTGTCGGAAGGAGGGACTTTGTAGAAAATGAAGCGTTTGAGAGAGGCGGGGCATAGAGGACTTACAATAAAGTACAGTATTTGAAAAATAAGGTGTTTTTTGAACATTAAAGCATGTCAACATATTCTGTTACATGGCAGAAAATTTTATACCACTTCATATAGTTATTCAATTTCACACGAAGAGTGCTGTTTTTCTCCAAAAATTACCATGATTACAAATGTGACATTGAATTCAATAAACAATAAGTTAATTAAGAGATTTACGTTTTAGACACCATATTGCTTGTTTTTGCTCTATTTCGCCAACAAAAATCATTCCGAATACAGTCACAGCGCTGTTTTGTGTCTCTGTGCAACATGACGGTGTTTTGTTCCTTGTGAATGAATCAACCGTTTAAATGATTCGGTTCAATCGCAATGACTCACTTCTTAACAGTGACTTGCTGCCATCTACTGGTGGTTTTTCATTTTTAAAATAATTTTAAATATCAGTATTCAATGTTTTGTTTAAAATAACAAAAAAATATTTATGCATTTGCACCTGCAGGTTAAATGCATTCATGTCCCTCTGTGTGGGAAATTCATCCCAGGCAGCTTCTGTGTTTCCTCTGCATTGCAAAGATGAATTTTGATACTGATATCATTTGTTTGGTAACAGCCCAAATGTCTTTTATTCTAATTGACTGATTAAATGTAAGAATTTGAAATTTATAAAGGTAAAAATGCCCATAAAATGTAAAAATCAATTTAAACTTATTGGAACAGATTAATTTCTATCACTGCTGTGAACTGACCCGCACACAGAATATGAAAGATTTCAAAAACAAATTTTACACACACACACACACACACACACACACCAGTACGTATAGGGACATTTAAGAGGGTTTATTCTCCAAATAACTCTAATTTCATGTTGCAGAAAAAT